TTTTTTTTTTTTTTTTTTTTTTTTTTTTTTTTTTTTTTTTTTTTTTTTTTTTTTTTTTTTTTTTTTTTTTGTTTTGTGTTTGCCTTCATTCGTTCCTTATTACTTATAGATAGAATCTGTATGAGCTGGAAGAATGAATGATTCTGGTAAAGTTATCATCATTTTCTCGCATTAAGATATGGATCATTCTACGTTGTACTTTCGTTTGTGTTCTGTTCATTAGTTAAATGATTCAAGTCAGGTGCTTCGGGACAAACCATATGTCTTTTATGTTTCGTCTGCTCATCCACGTAAGGGAATAAAGACTAGGGTAATTTGATGACGTACTGCATCCTTTCTTTAGTTTCCATGGAAAGATGAGCCAATGGTGTTAAAATAATGTTGTCAGATAGAGAAGGAAATAAAAGAAATCATACTGTGCAGCATGCCAAAATATCTTACGTATTTTTTTCTGAAGTATCTGTTGATCTCAATTCTGATGTATACCATTTTTATCCTTCCAGTGTAGAAGGAAGTTCTAAGAGATTGTTCCAAATACGGTTTTCAAAATGATTTCCTGTTTATGGTTACAATTTGTGTTCAATATTATTGTGTATGCCAAAGGTTAAACATTTGCTGTCTTGAAAAAATAACAACTTCATTTGTTCTTAAAAAAACAGAGTGGAGGCGAGAACTTAAAAAAACAACCGGCTATGCAAACATTTTTCTTTCTTTCTGAAAAGCAATATTATTTTGAAAATAGTTCCAAGCAAATTATAGTCTTTTGTTAGATAGTTTTCTTCGGGTAAGGTTGGAGGGGGTCATTTGGACCATTTAAATCTTCAAGTATGTAAGAGACCAGCCATCCATATGTTTAAACCTCTTTGGCTGTCTTGTATGATTTGTGGTTTTTTTCAAAATTCTGTTGGTTTCTCTTCTCAATAGCTTTTCCCAAGTGCCTAGGAGTTTCTTTTCTCTCTCTAGCCTCTCAGTGAATGGTGCTGACTACCGAGTGTCATATGAGCGCATCTTTCTTAACTAAGATATATGAACATGCATGCGTACAAGGGATGGTAGATTTTTTTTTACTTTCTTTTGTACTTTATATTGGATGTTCTCGTCCTCTTTAATGAGTTGAAGCTATTTTTGTTGTCATTATCTACAGAGCAGAAATTACCACAACTTCACGATGAAGGCACTTATTCTTGTTGGAGGATTTGGAACACGTTTGAGGCCATTGACCCTCAGTGTCCCCAAGCCACTTGTTGACTTTGCTAATAAACCCATGATCCTGCATCAGGTTTATTTATGTTATCTTTCCCCCCTTTACATTTAGTAACAAATCACTGACCACTTTCTTCAAGAAATTCTTTGTACACCCTTAATATGACATTTTTAATCTTTTACTTTTAAAATTTGATTTTTTTAGTGGGAATCTATTAAATTTTTGCCTTTTAATTGCAAGAAATCTTGATATCTAATTAGTGATTTTCTGATTCTAGATGTAATATTGGATAGAGAACATTGAAAATTAACTGTTTTTAAGAAAATGATTTTGATTAATCATGCTGCTAGTCTGAAAGCCGTTTTCTCCTGTTCAGATAGAAGCTCTTAAGGCTATCGGAGTGAAGGAAGTAGTTCTGGCAATCAATTATCAGCCAGAAGTAAGGAAATAAAACTCTCTTTTTTTATTCTCCCTACTTCACGAGGTTTGCAGTGATAGATGTAATAAATCTTTATTCCTGCAGGTAATGTTGAATTTCTTGAAAGAATTTGAGGAGAAGCTTGGGATCAAGATCACTTGCTCTCAGGAGACAGAACCACTTGGAACAGCTGGCCCTCTTGCTCTTGCAAGGGATAAACTAGTAGATAAGTCGGGCGAGCCATTTTTTGTCCTGAATAGCGATGTTATCAGTGAGTACCCACTTAAAGAAATGATTGAATTCCACAAGAGTCATGGAGGAGAGGCTTCAATCATGGTGACAAAGGTAAACCTCTTGAGTTCGGATATATTCTTCTTTGATAGGAAGTTCATCAAGATTCTATTCATTATCTAAAAGTTTCTTCCTTCAAGTCAGTAGTTGATATCTTTTCTTCTCCTAGGTTGATGAGCCTTCCAAATATGGTGTGGTGGTCATGGAAGAGTCCACCGGGAAAGTTGAGAAGTTTGTGGAGAAACCAAAACTATTTGTCGGCAACAAAATCAATGCAGGAATTTATCTGTTAAATCCCTCTGTTCTGGACAAAATTGAACTGAGGCCAACATCAATTGAGAAAGAAGTGTTTCCTAAAATTGCAGCAGAGCAAAAGCTTTATGCAATGGTACTGCCAGGGTTCTGGATGGACATTGGACAACCAAAAGATTATATTACAGGACTAAGGCTCTATCTGAACTCCTTGAGGAAGAACTCGTCATCAAAGTTAGCCGTAGGGTCTCACATTGTAGGAAATGTTCTTGTGGACGAGACTGCTAAGATTGGTGAAGGATGTCTGATTGGGCCAGATGTTGCCATTGGTCCTGGTTGTGTTGTTGAGGCAGGAGTTAGGCTATCTCGATGCACTGTAATGCGCGGAGTGCGCATCAAGAAGCACGCTTGCATATCGAGCAGCATCATAGGTTGGCACTCTACAGTCGGGCAATGGGCACGTGTAGAGAATATGACAATACTAGGAGAAGATGTTCATGTGGGTGATGAAATTTACAGTAATGGTGGAGTTGTGTTGCCGCACAAAGAAATCAAATCTAGCATTTTGAAGCCTGAAATAGTCATGTAAAGGTGTGTGTGTATTTGCAATTTAGTTGAATCCTTTTTGAGAGCTGAAACGTAACGTTGTCGTGAGTGGACTTTACTAGTTTTATTTTTCTTTTTCTTCCTCTTCATGGGCCATAATGTCAGTGTCTGCTAGTTCAAGTTCTGTGAGTGAAGGGTCAATCTCCCCTTTCAAGGGCGTACTGTGTAATATTTTTGTGTACATAGGGAAATAATTTATCGATTAATGTTTCAATTTCTTTTTCTGAAAATTTCTTTCCTTCGGCTTCCTTCATAATTGTAACTCCTAGAATTTAACCTTTTTTTTTTTAGTGAAAATTTAAATTTCTATTATCGTTGGAGAATTCAGACTTCTGACTTTATTAAAAATATAATTTTTAATCAATTGAGGTATTATGGAACGGTCGGTGGATAAACCAGCATAAGTATGACTACTCCGTAGAGAAGGTAGGTCGTAGGAGACATCTATATCAAAAACGGTAGAGATTCCTACACTCATTTTCGTTTAGGGAGGGAAAGCCTTCAAGAAAAAGAAGGCCAAGTCAAGTTATTATACAGTGCCCAAGAGCCAAAATGTTACTAGCGAAGATATAGCAAGTAAGAACCATGAGACAAAAGCAAAAGCCACGGATATTTCAATCTTGCTACATGAAATACGAAGTGGTGATCTGCAGTAGTTCAAGTCCCTTGAATACAAAATGGCCACCCCAGCGGACGAGGATGCAGCGGCGAGCGAAAGCGTAGCTACAACCTGCATTTCATATGGATGAATTCATGAAGTAGCTATTATGCTAAAAGAAATTAATAAAAGCATGAATGTATAACAAGTACCAGAAGAAATGCAACAAAATGGAGAACTTTTTCCTCGAGATCAATATTCAAACCTGGAGCTAATATTTATTTGGAATGTCCACAGTAGCTTTATAGGAGCATTGAGCTTCGGAATATTGATTACCGAGGGAGATTGTGAAAGTTTATTCAATTTCTTGGATCCAAATACCCCGTGACAATATCAAAATATAGACAAAGCAACCTGACATACCCTACGCTCATGGTTTCTTATAGCCTCTCAAGCATCCACAACATCCAAAAACCTGAAAGCATGTGATTGGACTGAAGGAGGAACCATGGTGGGGTGAGATTTCATATTGGTTGGAGAGGAGAACGAAACATTTTTTATAAGGGTGTCAAAACCTCTCCCTAGCAGACACATTTTAAAAATCTTGAGTGAAGCTCGAAAGGAAAAATCCAAAAAAGATAATATCTAATAGTGGTGGACTTGGACTTATACCGTCCGAAGGGCAGGGATTAGGCTTACAGCAAACCTCATGGTGTCGCACTTTAAACTTTATATAAACATCAGGAAGACCAAGTACTAATATTATACAACATTCAGAGGACAGCGTGTAGAATTGTAAAACAGTCAATTCAGCTTGAGGTCTCCAATTGATCTAGCGTATCTTCACGAATTTGGGGGGAAACGCACCAGTGATAGGGAGCCTTGTATGATCTCTATTGGCTTATCTCGGATAGAGATGGAAACTGGCTATAATTAGTCAAAACTTTTATGGTCCCATACCAACTGAGACGTTGAATGACTCTAAGAGAAAGTTACTTTCAGGGTCTCTTCCTCGATCACATACAATCATTAGACTACTTGAATGACTCTAAGAGAAAGTTTTGGAACGAATTATCTTGATGATCAAGATCAAGAGTAAAGAAATTCGTAATTCGAATCACTCCACAGGATAGCTTGATCACAACTACTTGAATGACTCTAACATGCAAATCTTCACAAGAAATGCAAAGAAACAAGTCCATGACTTCAGAGGCATAACATGCAACTTTCATTCTAATATTCGAAATTTTCGTACTAAAGCAACAACATGAATGATTGTTTATAGCCTTGAAAATAAACTTATAGTAAGCTATGTGAAAGGTTCTAATTTTCATGACCATCGATATCATAATGGCCACTAGCTAAAAGTAACTTGTAGTCTTAAAGATAATTCTCTAAAACTTAAAAATACAATAAAACCTCCTTAAATCCAAACATGTATAGATCTTGTTATCCACTATGAAATCTTTGTAGCATGATTCAGATACCTTATTTGGTAACATTTAGTCCGCAATATTGTGATAAAATTTCATTCATGTACTCGCAAGTCAAAAGACAGTGATACTAACCCAATCTCCAATAGCAAATAGACACAATAAAACTGAATTCCGCAGGCTTTTCTTCATATGCATAGCATGCAAATCAAGGCATGCTAATCCAAAGCTCCAAAGAATTTGAAGCCCCATGGAAGCAATTAGGTAACTGGTCGGAATAAATAGTGCCAAAATTAGACAAGAACCACAACTTTGCAATAGAACTGAAGATAGACTGGTCAAAACAGTCACATAAAACAATGAAAATATAAAGAAAGAATCAGAGAATGTAGTGTAATTTAGAATACTTAAAGCGGAAAGTTTAAAACTGCATTGGAAAATTTCAGCATAAGAAAAGTTTCATATATTCACATTCATGGCAGGAACTGTGGTTTCCCCTATTCACGCTAAGTTGCACATGCACACATCCCCTATCCAAACTGTTAGTTCAATTCGTTGAAGGACCATTTTCAAAGAAAACAGTAACATTATGATCAAACGAATGGACAACCTAGACGTAAACAATTCATCGCCTAAAGAAACAAAAAATGGTGGCTAGGATGGACACCAACACTAAGAACAATGACATTGCTCGCGGGGTCTGCCCAAAAAATAGCTCAGCGCTGAAGTTCTCAATCATTTGAAAAGACCTCACTAACTACGATCATCTTTTACCAACAATCAATAATACTCCAAGAAAGGAATGACGCAGGCAAGCAATACAATATTTCGTTTCTTTCCCTACTGAATTGAACTTCGATTGTCAGAAACACCCACACTACAACGGCTCCGGCCAAGATTGAACAGCTAATCCACATTTCACAGTAAAACAAAAGAAATGGTGAGCGGGAAATAGATTAGCATTATTACCAGAAGGCAGTGGAGTTGAAGAAGCCAGGAGCAGTAACCATAACCCCAATCGATGCAGCAGCGAAAAGCCATTGCGCACATCTCAGTGCAAAGCCGCTCATTCTTCCTGGACTCCCAAACATCTCTGCCTCCGTCAAATTCCGGACTCTACCAGATCTCCTTCTGAATCGGGAGCTTCAAAAGTCCTAAACAAGAGAAGGTTAAGAACAATGCGTTCAACGGTTTGGCAGTCAGCAACTTCGCTCAAGAGTTGAATCTGAAAGCTGAAGCCGAAAAATGGGTTTGTTAAGAAACGAAGAAAACTGGAATGGCGCCATTGGAAGATTGTTGACTCCCAAAAGGGGAATGTTCGATTCCATTGACTGAAGCTGTCACCCTTTTTCTTTTCCCGGAACTTCTAAACGGTGCTTTACCGAATCTTAGTCACGTGGCACAACCGCATTGGTGGTGATATTCTGTCCGGTGAACCGACGTACAGTCTTATCTCCACTCACGCTTCACGGGTTCGGCCATAACTCCCTCTTTCTATAGGGCTTTCGACAAAAGCAGTCCTAATGGAAAGCGAAAGAAACTTTTAACACAAAATACCGAATTGGTCCTTTTTCCATTTTACAAAATTACGATTATACCCTCACCTCTTTGCAGAGCAGAATCTCTTCTTTTTCTTTTTTCTTTTTTCATTTATTGTTTTTTTACAGTGATATGATGGTCAATTTACCAATATACCCCTGAATTTTTATAGTCTACTCTGTGAAAAACCCTTTCTTTCTTAAACCCTAAAACCTCTGTTCTTCCTTCACTTTGCCATCGCACCTTCGAACAGAAAAAAAAATGGCTATTGCGTCCATTATCAGAAAATCCGCCTCCTCTCTTTGCCCCTTAGCGGGTCGTCTCGTTCGCAGCCAACGAGTTTACAGTACTTCCATCTTCAATGCCTTGAACAATCACTCGAATTTCTATTGCCCGCCGCCGTTGGGTACCACATGTAGCTCTTTCCGAGATTTTTCGTCATCAAAGCGCCCAAGTTCTGACGAGGCTCTCATACGGGTGATTGAGTCTGAGGTCAAATGCGCCTCGGAAACTGACGACCACGATCGGGTGAGTTTTGATTTTTCTTCATCCCCTAACCCAATTGAGTAATTATTGCTGAGATACATAGACAATCGTACTTTCAATAAGTCTGAGAAAGAATCGCTCTGTTTACCAGTAGAATCAGTCATAACGAAAGAAAGAAAGAGTCTACGAATTATAAAATTACCCGCGATTACTCTGAAATGTGGAAGCTCCATGAGATATTACTGGTTTTTCATAGTGTCTGCACATTACTTGTCTGAGCATTGCTTCACCGGTAGTGGAAGTTGTATGATTTTCAACATGATTTGGAGAGGATTCCTTTCAGCGTGATTGATAAATTAGTCTGATAGGTCTGATAGGCAGACTGTAAGCATAAATCTATAGTTTCAGTAAATGGTGGTTATGATAATTCATTCTTTGATCTCACACAGGTCGAGGAAGTGCCCAAAGGATTCCCATTTGAGATTCAAGATAACCCTGGCTTGCAAACTATTACTTTGAAGAGATCATATCAAGATGAAGTCATTAATGTTGAAGTTCACATGCCTGATCTGGTTACGGGTCGAACTATTAACGCCAATGACGATGACGGTGACGATGATGGTGGTAATAAGGGAAATCAGTCTTGTATCCCATTGATTGTTAGTGTCTCAAAGAAGAATGGACCTTCCCTAGAGTTTAGTTGCAGCGCTTACCCTGATGAGATTTCCATAGAGAGCTTGATAGTTAAACATCCAGAGCATTCTGAGGATCAAATTGCTTATGAAGGCCCTGATTTTCAGTAAGTATTTACTTACATATCAGTTCAGATCTTCTAGCTTTGTTAGAATATGATGATCATATCTGCACTTTTTCTTTTCAGTGATCTGGACGAGAACCTTCAGAAGGCCTTCCACAAGTATCTGGAGATTAGAGGTATTAAACCGAGCACAACAATCTTCTTGCATGAGTACATGATCAACAAAGACAGCAAGGAGTTTTTGCTGTGGCTGACGAAACTCAAGAACTTTGTTGAAGCATAAACTTCTAACCATTGGAGTAGTTTCTTCCCCTCTTAGCTCTTCACTGTTTACACCTTTCAACTTCATTTTCTCTATACTTTCTGCCAGAATGAACATTTTTGTTGTATCTTATCTACGTTTTATAGGAAAGCAAATTATTCTTATGGTACAACAAGACATTATAGAGACAGAGTTAGAAATACCTTGGTTTAGCAGTTCTTATGAATGTTTTATATTCTACATTTTTCAAAGGGTTTAAATAATAAAAAAAATTTAGTTGCCCAATTAAAAAGTGATTGAAACATACTTTAGTTCTAAAAAGTAAAATTCCGATGGCTGTGGTACGAATATCCCACTGAAAAACACTGCAAATAATTCAGGAATTCCAACACAACAACAAATAAATAAACAAACAAACTCCTGGTTTACTTAAAAGTTTAAGAATTTGAATCATTTCAATATCAATATTCAAGAACCTTACAAAACTAGTTTTAAAAGATGACCACTAAAGTTGTTTTTTGACTTGAGAACCTTACAGAAACCTATCAAAAACCCAAAACAAAAAGTACATTTGACTGTAAAATTTTTAAAAAACTGTTGTATTGTTTTATAAACAGACAGTAAACTCGACTGGTTTATATGGGTTTAGGAGTTGGAAAGTGCACTACAACCACTGATTTGTATGTGATTCCCGTTATTTTAGAAGCCAACTCAATTTCAATTGTGTCACAAACAACAAAACAATCCAAGCATAATGCACCACATCTACTCAAATGGTCATACTTCAAAGATTAACCTATAAGCTACGACTAACTAAACTCTGAATTTCCTGTTCTTGAAGAAAGGTCCTAAGCTACTAAACAGCAATGGCCAATATTATAGGAAAATTGGCCGCTTCTGATGAAGTCTCTAATTAAACCACATTATTTCTCCAAGTATGAAACTGAAGCACGAGGGGAGAAGAATAACACTTATTTTATACATTTTCCACCAAACAAATTGCCAGCGTGAATCCTTCGGCTGGAAATCAATCAACCACATGAGACTCAATCTTGATGTCCTTGTGTGTGTAGATAACACCTTTATCACCATTAACGACTTGCCCACTTCCCCTAAGAATCCTGCATATAACAAATGCAAATTTAAGTACAGTTTGATGATATAGTTGCCTATCTATCCACATTTCACAATACATTATATGCTGTGTTCGTAAAATATTTGCAGACCTGTTCGTATGTGTGTACAATATAGAATTACAAAGAAGACTATGATTTGTTCATACCATCTGGTCGTTAATAATCCTTCAACTCCTACAGGACCCCGTGCGTGGATTCGACTTGTGCTAATCCCAACCTGTTACAAACAATGGATTTGTAAAAAGCATGCAACAAACTAAAACGTACTGATGTCTGACAATAATAGGAGCATATCATACCTCAGCACCTAGACCAAATCGGGCCCCATCACTAAATCTTGTGCTCGCATTATGGAAAACAGCAGCGCTACCATTAGAAACATAGCGAAAAGGGTTAATAAGCCATCAAAGTGAAAGCATCATTATTCAATACAATCTATCTCACACGCATGAAAAGATTATAAAAGAATGGAGGAAGCTGGAAGACTGCCAAATAAGGTTAATAGGTATTCTTACCTGTCAACTTGACGTAAGAAAATTTCAGCAACTTTATCATCTTCTGTAACAATACAATCAGTGTGTGCACTGCCAGTTTACAGAGAGTAATGAGCAACATATACAGTACGGATCAAAAGAAACAAAATGCATGCTCGCCTAACATATGTAAATGCAAATAATTAGCAATGTGAAATGCTCTTTCAACAAGAAATATCAGCAGCATGCCTTCCATGTTGATGTATATGATCGATGGCAGCAAAAACATCATCCACAATTTCAATAGTGCAAGTCAATGAATTGTATTCATGGTGAAACGTCCGCGCCTCAGGAATGTTCAACAGATTGCTCGCCTTTGGTCCACCATACAAAGTAACACCTGGCAAAGAGACAATTAACTACTCTTTTAATTTATAGACGTCATGTATTCCTAGAGTTGGATGTACACATCGAAGTAAAAAATGATCAGTAGATGTTGAACTTATGCAATCAATTTTCATCATTAATACTCGTTTCTAGCCCATCTGTTCTTCAAACGATAAAGAAGGGTTATTTAGAATTGTGCTCCAATAACTGTAACAAATCCCTTGTGATGGAACTAGTGACCAAAAGCATAAAATAGTCTGCCATGCAGAAATTGCAGCAAGGCTAGACAATTATCCAATAATTATGATAATACATGCAATCTAAGGAAGGGGGCAAGTTAAACCTTCAATACGGAGATTTACAACAAGCTCATTCAGCATGCCAGTATGAACCAAGTCCTTGTGAACAAGAAGAGTTTCCTGCAGTCAAGAAACAAGAGAGTCGGAACAGAATCAAGATCATGAATAAGAAAGGAAAAAAAAAAAAACTTCAATTAGGTACAAGATAATCACCAAATGAAGTGGAGAAAGAATAAAATAAATTTAATTGATGAATGATATACCATAGCATTACAGGCTGCTGGATAATCTACTTTTGCATCCAGTACAATTCTCTTTGCCATTTCCAAATCAGCAGACTTGTCAACATAAACATGGCAGATTCCGTCTGTATAGCAGCAAAGAGCACATGTTTTTACGATTATTATGGTTTGTTTCATGAAAATAAAAAAGAATGGGAGATAAATATATTGAAAAAGAAAGGTCGATTCAATCCATATTACCAGCGTGACCGAGAACAGGAATTTTGGTAGAATTCTTAATTTGAGAGACCAGTTTGTTGCTGCCTCTTGGGATCACCAAATCAATGACATCATCCAGCTGTCATTATTTTTGATAAACCACTTAAACTGAAGTATACTGTTATCGCATATCATTACCAATAATAACAGGGAAGAATTTTTGACAATTATGTTTCAAATTTCAGGACTTTACTTAAAAAATTAGTATCTTTATTTTTAATTCTATTTCATTAAATGGACTTTCATACATAGTAATTTTTCATTATTTTTTTCAATAATAATACACAAAAAATCAATGTTTTACAATAATAAATGATGTGATAATGGAAAAATAAAAATTTATGAAATTAAAAAACATTATCATTACTAAATATGAAAACTCGTAGGATATTAAATATGTCATCAGTCCTATAATTTTTTCATTGACTAATTTACCACTAAGCCAACAACCTGGGGTCAAAAGAAGTATAATTTTTTCAACCCAATGTACCTTCAGTAGATCAGGTATTTCCTCCCTCGAAGTTACAAGTCCAATGAGGGTCCCACCAACACTATCTGGAATGGCTTCCGTGATAATCTACATAAAGCACGAAGAAAAGTGAACCGATGTATCAATGTCATTATAATTTGACCATGAAGGAAACACATCATACCTTATGCAATATTGCATTTGATCGCCTTGCTTCTTTTCCCCCTTTTAAGAGAAGACCATTTCCACTCCGGATAGCCAATGAAGCTATCTATGAAAATCACAAATCCAAGGGTTAATATTAAAGGAAAAAATCAGGATTGTAAGCACCGAATGGGGACAACACTTTGATGCTCCACAAGCAATTTCTACTAACCTGTACCAGAGCATCTGGACGAGACTCAAACACAATCAATAGAACACCCAACGGAGACGATGTTTTCTCAAGAATTAGCCCATCTGAGACCTGAGTGTAAAAAATAATTGTCTCAAGTTGAGAAAAAATTGAGGGCCAGTATGAAATCCAGGCATTCTGAGTTATTTGAAAGGGTAATATCAGCCATTTCATTACAAGCTAGTCAAAAGAATATTTTTTCACTACTTCGAATCACAAATACCATTGGAGCAGGCTCAATTTCAGTCCCTGAGAAGAATTATATTGTTGCTACATAATGTCCTTAATTCGTTACCTCAGTCTTCTTCAAAACACGACCAATTGGATCTTCCATGTTTGCAAGCGTACGGATGGAGTTGGCAAGGCTGGATATCTGTTCATAGACAATTAGTATCACTATTAACCTAGAAAAGATAGGCATTGAGACTTTCAGGCAGTATCTGATGTTATATATTTGAGTAAATGTGTAACCAGCGCTGGGTGTATGCTGAAGCAAATAAGCAGTATGGAAAGTGCTATGAAACAAAGTCATATAATAAGCAGAATTAAAGATATCCCAATCTTGCCTTTCCAGGTTTCATTGCCAATCGTGATACTAGGGCCCTTTCGTATCCAGTCTGTTGAGCTTCAGCAACATCAGCTTCATTTTCAGTACGGATCAGTTTTTCATTTGTTTCAAGAGCATCAGCTACATCCAGCAAAATTTTTCTCCTCTCTTGAGAAGAAATTGCCTATGGAATATGAACTACCGTATAAAAATCATGCTAACTTTGCATACAACGCAATGAGAAATTACCTGTAGCCTTCTCGAACTTTCCCTTGCAGCAACAGCCATGTCACGAGCACCAACGTCCTTTTGTGGGGCCCACAAATGAGCATCTTGATGGAAGAGGGTACCAATACGATCTCCTTTGAGGACCTTAAGGATATTCTCGGGAGCATATCCACTTCAAATGGATATGGTAAAAAACAGTTTTAAATTGAATCAATATTCATATTAAATAAAAGAAAATGAAATTCAAATGGAAAATCCATTCATGCTAGGTTACATACAGTTTCAAAGAAGCACAATTGGTAAACTAGGGGAAGCATTTCATCCTTTTCACAATTGCATGTAATATAGCATTTTTTATTTTTTATGCCACCTTCTGAAATAACCAGTGTCTTGCTTATATGAGATGGAAAACATGGGGTGGATTAAATTTTGAAGTTCCCCCTTATTTAGTGGTACGGTGCGGGGAATGATTGTTATTACAACTAGGGAAAGGGGAAAGGAGTTTCCTAAGGCACTCAGCAATGAGGCATACCTAGTGATAACAACAGGAATGCCAGCATATGCAGCACCAACAGCAGCTTTAACTTTAGCAGTCATACCACCTCTTCCCACCCTAGACTTATCCCCAAAGGTAATTTCACCTTGATGGCGTTCCTTAACGTATGTATGGATTAACTTTGAGTGAGGGTCACTTGGTGGCCCACTATACAGACCGTCTACATCACTTAACAAAACGAGGAGATCAGCTTTTAGCTCCAAAGCTAAAAGTGCTGCCAAACTGTCATTGTCCCAAAATATACCAGAAGAATCCTGAGAAGAGTGGTCAAAAACAAATAAATTAATAAATAAGCTTTCAATTATTTTGCGCAGATCACCAGAACAAGAGCATGTATCACACCTCATAGGGAGCTTTCCTAGTGCTGACTGCATCATTCTCATTGAAGATAGGAATAACCTTAAGAGAGAGTAATGATTTCACTGTATCACTAAGTTGCCTTCTAAAATCCTTATCCCTAAAATCATTATCTGTGACCAGAAGTTGGGCAGATGAAACATCCAACTGCCCAAAAAAAAAAAAAAAAAAAAAAAATCATGTCAAACNAAAGTCCATTAATTGTCAAGTCTTAAAATAGCCAAGTAATAAAGAAGGTAAGTTCATATCAGAGTCTAAAAAATATTGACTGGCAAGGGGTGAAATGGAAGGGAAAAAAAGGACTGCAACTGCTAAACAAATGAGCTAGAACCAGTTCTTGAGTTAAAAATTAAAATAAAAATAAATAAATAAATAAGAGTGGTCGTCACCTGACTAAATAATGTGTCATAGAGAGCCATAAGACTATTTTGACCAACAGCTGCGCATGCCTTCCCATCAAGATCAACTTGTGGTTTTTGAAGGTCAGCAAAACTACATAATTCATAGTACGATCTTAGAATATCCTTTTTTTTTTTTTTTATTTCAAGCAAAAGTTTCACGTAAGTATATCAAAACTTGAATTAATTTCAGGATTCGATCGAATTTCATTGTCCTCTTAATCAATTTAATTGCAATTTATCCCGCATAAAATAACCTGCTATTAACAAGCTTCCTGTATCGGAGCCTTTGACGACCAATGCCAACAGCACCGGATGAAACCAAAATAACCTCGTATTCTTGGGAGTTAAGTTCCTTGATCTGCATTCCAGATTGTAATCTTAATATTAAAAAAAAAAAAAAAAAAAAAAAAAAAAAAAAAAAAAAAAAAAAAAAAAAAAAAAAAAAAAAAAAAAAAAAAAAAAAAAAAAAAAAAAAAAAAAANTCACTTCGCGTTACCACCGCCGTCCCAACCTTCAATAAGAAAAGCACAACATCCAATAACTGGTAAGTAAATTATATTATCAATGGTTTGATGATCCAAAATTGAGATAATCTGCACGTGGTTTTCCAGTAGGATGAACTGAGGAGAAGTTGCAACACACAGAGCGAATCCAAATCGGCAAACATTGATGAGAACGAAGAATATAAAGCTCAAACAGAATGAAAACCACAAAAAAATAATCGAATTAAAAAAGAACATCGGGAAACATGAAAATGTGGTTGAAATCAGAGGTACCTTGACAACCAGGCGCTTGACATCCCGAAGGAAAGCTCGAGAGCGATCCATGGAGTCCATTTCGAAGAGTGTGGCGAGTCAACTGGAGGGAGACAAACAAACTCAAGAAAGCCAGCGAGGGTTTGGTTTGTAGTACAATACAAAACAAGTAATTTTCAATGGAGGCTGATATAAGCTTCAGAAATGTTAGGCGGACGCAGGATTGGGAATACTTGATTTTAATTATTCCAACTTCATTCTCGGATTCGATTCCTACTCTGACCAACTCACCCGTACCATTTTTATTCTTTTACTTGCGGCTCTTGTTTTTAATTTATTATTCTTTCTATAAATAAAATAATAATAATAATAATAATAAATAAACATTTTAGTCCTTACATAATTTTTTTTTTTTTTTTTTTTTACCGGGTATGAAATCATAATTATTATTTAACTATTTACGACAGGACAATTTTAGATTTTTTTGAAAATACTAAACTAAAACTCATTAAATGAAGCCTAAATCAAATTATCAAAATGGTAATTTTACAAGATTTAAGAATTTAAATTGATCCTTATATTTTTTTTTCCATGTTCTTTTCTTATTTAATTTTTGTTTGAGATGGTTATATATATATATATATAATACTGTGAACTGAAAACTCCTAAACTCCAGTTAAAATCCGGCGGTTAACAGAATTTGGAAAAAAAAAATGATTAAATAAAGCAATAATAAAATAATGCCCTGAAAATCAATCTAAGAGGAGCCTATAAAATATTGTGTTATAAATTGGCGTTTAAAATGGATTGAATAAAGGCTTGAGGATTGAGTGCTATAAAATGCCTAAATCTTCAAGCCTTTATTATGTAAGAAATTTGTTCAAATTTTTAAAAATGAAGTTTATAAACGTTGGTTTCATTTAATTCAACCAATCTAAACCATGGAGATTGAGAACGTTGGGATGAAGAAAAACGGACCGCCTATTGAAAGGCGGGCGGAAATCTGGCGTCTTAAAGCGGCGGCAATTGGGCTTTGACCGTAGAGGATTTCACGTCTCTCTCTCTCGGCATATGCCGGCTAAGAGTGTAGTGGAGGGTCACAAAAGATAAATTAAATTAATAATTTCGGACAGAAAGGCAAAAAATTCAATGGATGGCCAGTGGATAGCTGCCGAAGGACAAACGCGGCTGGTGCCCGTGCTAGGGCTCACGAGATTAAGAATGGAGGAGAACCAGTTGAGATTTCACTGTAGATGGGAGGAAAAAACGAAACATCGTTTTAAAAATCTTGAAAAGAAGTCCGAACTGAAAAGTCCAAACATATTCATATCCAGTCATTTTCCTTTGGATCAAGTAAAAGGTGTCAAGGAAGAGGCCAGCAAAGAACCTATATTCAAACTCAATTACAGCAAAGTACAATCTTTAACATCTATTTACAACGGCGTCTGTTTTAGTGGAATACAAGACGAAAATTTATAATCAAAGACAATGAAAGATGCCACTCTCCTCGGTCAATAATCATAAAGAGGGAAGCCCATCTGAGAATACTTACCGTGAACGAGTTAGATACTGTCCGTTATCACGACAAAAGCATCACTTCCCATCATAAAAACTATGCTGTTGATGTTCTTTTTCTGATACTCCCATCACACAAATTCCAGGAACCGAGAACTTCCAAACCAACCAAGAGGAAATCATTCTTCAGTCTACGAGGTCAGCACTCAGAAACAAAGCAGACATAGATGGTCAGAAGATAGCAAAAAGCTGAGTGAGCACGCTCAAGGAAAGAACCGCACTTTGATGAAGATTGCCAAAGCCATTTGCAAGAAAAATGCAGCAACTACCATAACTGAAAGATTATTTCCCTCAATATAGGACCTCAGGTTCAAAGTAACAAAACTTGCTGAAGCAGCACCAGAAAGGAGTATAATGAACCAGCGCAGAAATTCAACCGGGATGAGCAACAGAAACTATGGAGAGAAAAAAAAATATATATATGTAAAAATCATGCAGTTACAATCGCCATTAGATAATGGATTTTTTCTGAATAAAACGCATGAAGGTCCTCTTAAAATAAAATGTCTAGTCTAGCCAAACAGTTTCCTTTTAGTATTTTTTTTCTTTTCTCTCATATGCCAACTACAATATCCACTAAGCTATGAAACTAATAAATTCAAAAGTAAAGAGACTGGAGTATCAAAATAAGGAAATTGTAAAGAGTACGGAAAAAGTGCAGAAGAGATTCCAGAAGCTTACAGATGCCAGAATAAAAATGAACAGAGAATAGCCCCACAAGCACCAAAATCTTATGAGGCTAGAATTTGATCCCAAGTACTGAAGTGAAAAGTAAAATGCCATGGGCACCACGATTGCGTAACCATAAACAGACCCAGCGGCCACATTCACATAGCTGACATCAAAGCTCCATGCAGTAGCATGATCACTTCGCTTTTGCATAAGGAAGGTCGCACAGTTTCCAAGTGCCGCAAGGACAAAGACCAATGTAGTGGTGATCCACACAAGCCCATATCTAAGTCATAGCAAAATCCAAAAAAAGAAAGAGTAAGATAGTCCATTTAGTTTCAAGAACAAGATTAACATACAAATAAATTATTGAATGATCAGGTAAAGAGGCACAACAAATTGAAAGAAAAGAAATCAAAAGGTTGGCATTTGAAAGTTCACAATAATCCTATACCATAAGAGAAACAAAGAGAAACAAAGAGAAAAATGGTTAAGGTTAAAAGAGAATATGAAAAACTCACAGGTCAGGGTTCGCATCAATCTTGCTAGAAAAATCTCCACCAATGGGATACAAGGAACTAATCAATCTATTCAAGACAATGTCTGAATCCACATTGAAATATTGAGTGTAAGATGTTACACTAAATACCCCCTTCCAGTCATTTGATGTTTGCTGCTGAGAATCTGCACACAGTTAAATGGAATCAAACGTTTGGTTCACAATAAGAAAAGAATCAACCGCAATATAATGTCAGTCTATTCTTTTTGGAACAGGCTTTACATCGACAAAAATTTCCTAACTTTATCCTAGTTTTGCTGAGGGAACATTCAACCTCTTGGGTCAGATTCAAGAGCCTTGTACCACAAGAGCAAACCAATGTCAAAACATCTAGTAGTCATGAGACACAACATTTTCAACCTTCATGATTAATTGGTTGAAACAGGGAACAACACATCTCAATCCCATGTAAGTAAGTTCATGTTCTACATTTAATATGTCCAAAACTAGCCATTAGAAGAAATAAATTAATTAATTGAAACAAAGAACCACTTCTACACGGAAAAAAAAATGTCATATTAAATAGTTAAAAGATCTATAAAGTAAATACAAAACCCCTAGTTGAGAGAGACAAAGGAAAAAAAAACTAAACTAACGATCTCTAATCATTATTTTCACCAATTGCACTACCTGTCATAACAGACTATTCTATAACCTTGCAAGTTTCTTGCAGATCTACTATATGAGAGATACTAATCTTATAGATGACGAGCATACCACTTGGACCTTCAAGAGTTTGATAGCCTCTCCCTCTGTCCCCTCCATTAATGGGGGGAAATGTCTCCATACTTGCTGCTGGGTCTGCATTTAATTAAGAAGCTATTCCTCAGAGAAGATATACAAGTTTATTCCGTGTGACAATTTAATAGCAAGATAGAATTCTTAAGAGTGTGACTTATTATTGAACACAAAATAAAATAAGATTACTAAGAACAAGATACTGGAATTTGTCTTACTTTCATGGTCTGTACCATTCTTCTCATCAGTGATTACAGCCTATTGATAAAAAAAAATGAAAAAAAGATGGATAAAATATATTCAAGATAGAGGAGCTTTTGTAACGGAGAAGGGTAAAAAGAACATAAATTATAATCTAAGCTAAATGAACACAAATAACACTTAAGCACACATGGATTCAAGGTATAACCAAAAAGGAACACAAATATAAACACACGCACAAAAGCTTGTATACTACTACAGGTAAATTTTGTATCCCTTGGTATTAGAGGATTGCTACTGTCGATTATAAAGCAAAATATAGGGGCAGATTCAACGTATGCATGCCAAAACAACTGCTCCTCTCAATCACATTGTAAATTGGATCTTCCTTCTCACAAAAATGCATTTTAATCTTCTGAACCCAGCAAGAAAAAAATCTAGCCAGCTCTATATTTGTTCAAGCTCATCAGAAATCCAACCCAGTAAACTGGTACACTAATCTAACTGTTCGTACAAAACAAGAAGAGGCAGAACCTAGCCTTCAAAATAAAGCCAAAAACAAGTACAATCAAACACGCCAACGGCCAAATATACAGCAGAAAATGCGACTGGAAGTAGGGATTTAATTTCTCAGTCAAATGACACATCTATTGCTCTCATATTCAGCAATTATTCACTAGAAGACAAGGAGGGGGAAAAAAAATCCCAAAACCAACAATGATTTCCTGATGTGACTGCATACTAATTAGCGAAGGAAAATCTCAGTGGCATCAAAAGAATAGTCTTCCGATGAGTCCTAAAAAACAGCACAACAAACATATAGACGAGAAGCTACCAAACTATAATTCACTATCTTAAAAAAGCAAACAAAAAGGAAGAAAAACTCGCAACCGATCACATTACGAAGCAAATCGATTATCGCGAAGAATGACGCAGATATTCTAAACTTCAAGATACAAATAGTACGAATCAGAAGTCAATTTCATGAGTATAGAAAATAAAAGAAGAGAAGAGTCTAAAAAAAAGTGCGTACAGGGACTGAGCCAAGCAAATGGCTAGTAGGGAGATTAGTGTAAGTCTCGTCCATGGAGAAAGAAAGCGATCAAGCACCGAAGCCAGAAAAAGGCGAAACACCGAAAGGAAGAGGAAAACTGAAATTATTAGGCGGCCTCAGAAATTCATCCCAAGGTACGAGCCCTAATGTTGCAGTCATTGTTGGTCATTTCTTCGCGGGGAAGTACACGGTCACGGAGGTCACGATGATCCACGTGTCTTCATTTGGTGATTAGACGACGTTCCCAGGAAATTTGGGCTGGAAATGGGCCAAGCTCTGTCTTGGAAAAGCCCATTACCAAAATGTAACTGAAATCGAAGAAAAACATAATGTCTGAGACTGGACCTTTAGTTTGTGAGACTAGCGTGACTAACTACATCAACACAAGTTGTTCAATTTTACTGAGTTAATATATTAAAATAACT